TAGAGTAGAGTAGAGTAGAGTAGAGTAGAGTAGAGTAGAGTAGAGTAGAGTAGAGTAGAATTGAGTAGAATCGAGTAGAATCGAGTAGAATCGAGTAGAGTCGAGTCAGTGGTGGGTTCTGGATTCCGTTCCAGCCAATACAGTTGGAATGGGCCCAGCGGTGTCCAAATGGATGCGTGCACACACACGCAGCACGCACATTCATCTTAGTGCCTCCGCGACGCTCCAGCTGCTCAGCGGAGTGTCGTGCAGGTGCTGTACATGCCATGCGCATGCGCTGAAGACTTAAAAGACCGGCAAGGAGCTCGGGCAGGTGGGTGGGCCCTCCGGAGCACCGTACCGGAACAGTATCTGATGCTCTGGGCAGGCTTCGGTACGCCCGTACCGGGGTGTATCACCTTTAACCCACCACTGAGTAGAGTACAGTAGAGTAGGATAGAGTAACAAATGTCTCACGTATCGACATAAATGTTGGGCTCAGTTGTGGTCATAAGGCAAGGACTACCTGTATAAGCAATTATCACAGTCTGGTTTTTCTCTTCCTCCCCCCTCCCTCTTTTTCTCTCTCTCTTTCTCTCCTTGAAGATGGGCAGGACAGCCCTTCACCTGGCTGCAGAGAAGGGGCAGGTGGAGGTAGTGGAGTTTCTCCTGGCCCTGGGCTCTTCTCACAGCATCAAAGACAAGGTTTGCAAAAAGAGTTGGGAATTGTCTTGCCAAAGATCTACCTGCCAACATTTACTTGCCTTATTTACTGTAGAACCCCTCCATCTCCAAATGACTTTGGGTGGCTTAAACTTTAACAGCCAGAACAATATAAGTAAGGAACTGTGGTTATATCTGTGTTCGCTGCAGCCAGTTTTATTGAATTATAAAGTTTAGAGAAGGTCTTGCTTTGTTGCATGCCTCCTGGAGAGGCTTGGTGTGATAGAAGGCAAATAAATTTTGTAAATAGACGGGTATAGCTCTGTTTGCTGGTGTTTAAACAAGTCACGTCGACAATGAAACCTTCAGGAGGGCTGATTGAGGTACCATTATCAAATCAAACAATCATTCAGAGTTTGAGCCAAGTCCAGGTTCACACGTTCTAGGAAGAGAATTATTCCTGGTTTTCACCTCTTTGTGAGCTCCATTCAATAGAAATCCCTGCTATAATTATTGTTTGATTTAGCATCTGAAGAGAACATAACAAAGGAGAAGCAAACGTATATGGCAGTCCTCAACTTACAACTGCAATTGAGCCCAGAGTTGATGTTGGCAAGTGAAAAATTTGTTAAGTGCCATGTTACAACTTATGTGAAACATTTGTTAAATGAGTTGCAACTTTTCTTGCCACGGTTGTTAAGCGAATCCCTGCAGTTTAAATTAGTCACACGGTTGTTAAGTGAATCTGGCTTCCACCATTGACTTTGCTCGTCGGGAAGGGCACACAAGGGGATCGCATGACCATGGGGCACTGCAACCGCCATAAATGTGAGTCAGTGGTCAAGCATCCGAATGCAAATCATGTGACCATGGGGACGGTCATAAGGGTGAAAAATGGTCACAAGTCACTTTTCCCAGTGCCGTTGTAACTTAGAATGGTCACTAAATGAATTGTTGCAAGTGGAGGACTCCCTGTACACACAGGCCACGTAATTATATACAAAACTTCCCTCGGGGATATGGCAGTGGCTTCATAACTGGGTGTCCAATTCAGCGAGATGCAGCCATACTGCCCTCTTGGGTTTCACAGCCATGAAAAACAGAAATGTATAAAATCAAATGGCCCTTTTGGGGATTTAGCTTTACTGCCATAATGGAACATAAAGACGGTCTTAATAAAAGTATTTGAGAACTGTTAAGTGAAAAATAAAAAGAGAACTCAGTTTGGGAAAAGGCACGAAAAAGAAACTTGAAACACCCCCTCCCTCTTCCTCGATTTAATAAAGGAAAATATTTGTAGCTCAAGGTTGAAATCTGAGCATCGTTCATTTTGGTACAAAACCAATATTAATGCAAATAAAAATTACTACATTAATCTAACAAGTATAGTCTAATGTTGTTATATATATTAATATTCCTTCATTTTTCAATTAATCAATATTTACTGCATCCTTATAATAGTCCGATTCTAGTATTATTATATAAAATTAATATTTACTACATCCTAATAATCATAACACTATTCTTAGGCATATCTAATATCATCNCTTCCTTCCTTCCTTCCTTCCTTCCTTCCCTCCTTCCCTCCCTCCCTCCCTCCCTCCCTCCCAGTGGTTAGAATGTAATATTGCAAGCTAGCTTTGCCCACTGCCAGGAGTTTGAGCCTGACAAGCTTAAGGTTGACTCAGCCTTCCATCCTTCCGAGATGGGTAAAATGAGGACCCAGATTGTTGGGAGCAATAGGCACATTCTCTAAACTGCTTAGAGAGGGCTTTAAAGTACTGTGAAACACTATATAATTATAAGAGCGATTACTATTGCTATTCTACCCTATCACTATCTGGAACCTCCCCTGGTGCAGCCAGAGCATTGGCAACTGAAAACTCCAGTAGTGTCAGGCTTCTCCTGGCTACTATTAGAATCGGACATGGTGTGTGCAATGATTCTGCGATTCAGCTGTCAGATGCATAAGGTTATTACAAGAACAAGGAAAAACGTGAAGAAAGGAACTCAGCAACTCAGCAAGCCCTTTTTATAGTAAAAGCAAGGTTCGGTTCCTATTTTTGTTTCTCCCACCTGCGGAGCACAACTGACAAAAGATCTCCCACCTTTGGTGTGGCAGGAAAGTTTATTAATGAATAAACTAGCTTGTGGGCAGATTGTTTGCTTTTGACCTGTTTGAACCCAACAGCGATCAAGATGGCGTTTCTAGAGACCTTTTTTCTAGGGCTTCTCTATGACTCTGACTCTGACTTGGAACAGGGAGAAGACCATTAAACTCACTACATACACAACTGACCAGAGAGCATTGTTTTAATTTGTGGGGCACTTTGGGATTAACGTGGATTCCTCTTAATTAATCATCTGGATCTGCTTTGTTTCCCCATGGCCCAGGGGAATGTACGAGTAATCCAGAGATACAGACCGGTTCGGCCAAATAGGTACTAACTCGGCTGGACCCGCGACCATACCGGTTCTTATTCTGGGTGCCGCCATCTTTATTTTCTGTTCTGCACTTGCGCAGAAAAATCTTCATTGAAAACATGTAATTTCCCCTCCTTTTTTAATGGTGTGCTCCTGCACAGACCTTTTTAAGTGCAAATACGCACACACTTGCAAAGTTTTTCGGGCACCGAACTGGTGATAATGCCGGCAGGAACCCATCCCTGAGGTAGTCCCCTACTTAATTTCTGTTGCTAAGCGAGACAGTTATTAAGTGAGCTTTGCCCTGTTTTATGCTCTTTCTTGCCACAATTGTTAAGGGAATCGTTGCAGCTGTATGGCTATTAGCTGCTCAAATATTGAAACAACCGTTGGCGCTGTGAGAAGGCATTGCTTTGCCATAAACTCCGTTGTATTTTCCCACGGTAATCTCTTCGGACTCTGAATTAGCTTGTTGTTCTTAGCCTCTTTAGCCTTTATCTCAGACTCCATACAGGATGTAGCTGGTCTAATCGTTTGTGAGAACAGCCGGCTGTCAGTTTGCTCCCTTCCCACAAGATCGGGAACGTCTGATAGCTGTTGTTTTGTCAATTCTCTTTGAAGGTCCCATTCTAACATCTCAAATTTGTTGGAGATGGAGTGGGGGTTGGTTTTACTCACAGTTCTCTTTCCGGTAAAATGTTCTTCAATTCTTGGTTGTTTTGCAGTTTGCATGGGCGGGAGAGCTCCCAGGCTGGTACCATGGCATTTCTTTCTTTTTCCCATGTCTTATCAGGCCCAGGCAAAAAAACAACAACACAACTTTATCTGTGTTGTGTCTCGTCGCTATTATCTCATCCAAAGAATATTACCGTATTTTTTTGACTATAAGATGGACCCTTTCCCCCCCCCTAAAAGAGTGTGGAAATGTTGGTGCATCTTATACATTTTTTTTTAGACATTTTATTAGGATTTATAGGCCGCCCTTTTCCCTGAGGGGACTCAGGGCGGCTTACAATCGCAGGGAAGGGGGTGCAATACCAAAAGACAAACAATATGTGAACAGAAGTAAGTAAAAAAAATACGGTAATATTCTTTGGATGAGATAATAGCGACGAGACACAACACAGATAAAGTTGTGTTGTTGTTTTTTTGCCTGGGCCTGATAAGACATGGG